TATAAAGCTACATCATGTAATTCTGGGGAATTTGGAGTCCTCTCTGGTGGAAATGTGTAATTGCACACAGCATGTTGAAGAACATTTTCTAATGTCTACTGTTGTCATCATTGTCATCTTCATCAGTATAATGTGGATTTTGCATTTGAGACCTAAACATCGAGACAGACCTTCTTTTTAAGCCTGTGCTTGTGACGTTAATAGGCAAAGAAAAGTATGACATGGGCTCAAAAGATTCCTACCAGATTCGTCCCTGATGCCTTTGACTTTTGAATTATTATTTTTATTTACAGGGTGACTCACAGCAGTGCATGGACACTGTATTTTAGCATGTTTTTTATCCTGACTCAGTAACGCTACTTCTTTCAAATTTAATGAAAAATCTTGCATATTGCAGCTTTAATTTACTACCCACAAGTCATCAATGTGAAACTCCATAAGTAGCTATGTAAGGAGTAAACTAAATATATTACATTATGCCAACAGTAAGGGTTGCCAGTTTTATACTTAGTCTCTCTCTGTTTATTTTAAGTTTTCCACATATTGTATTTGTTTCAAACTGTTGACTCTAGAGTTCTTTATTGAGATGAGACACAGATGGAGTAAATGTGAACATTTGGTGAACCTTTCCTTTGATAAAGGATGGTTTATGTGATGGGATTAAACGTTGTCCTCCTGTAGTATATAGTAAGTAATTATCACATTCACTTTGCATTCTTTGTTCACGTTTTTCTGTTTACCAGATTGCGCCCTCAAGACACGGAGCAAAGAAACCGTGTGTGGAAGAAACTGCAGAGACTCCTGGAAACATACAGCCGCTTACGAGAACAGGACCAAAGTTTCCTAGTTGAGGTAGCCTATTAAGTGTTACGAAGTGTTTTCAAATTGGAAATGATAAAGGAACAAACTTTGTTTCAATAGAAGCACAAAGAAAGACACTTCTTCCTGTAACTCTGTCTGTCTTTCATTAGGCGGTGGAGAGGTTGATCCACCCTACACTATGTGAACAGTGCATAGAGTTTCTAGAGCGAAAGCTGGTGCAGCAGATCAACAGCAGTGTGGAGAGAGCAGGAGAGGAGGTGCTGCATGCCTTCATACTCGTGCATACCAAACTGCTGGCCTTTTACTCCAGGTACTGTGTGAGTTTTTCTCCCTATTGGTTAAATCATTTAAAGAAATAATTTGGCAAAAAATCAAATCCCCTTAACCCAAATACTGTTAGTCGGCCAAACGTTGGAGATGTTTGCTTCTTTAGTTCTGCACTGAAGCTGCAGGGCTACTGTATCTTATTTTCAGCCAAAGCTTAATGTTATCTATTACAATTGACAAAATGATGCATAACTAAAAACGGAGGTAGCAGCCATAATTTTTTTTTTTCCTGTAGTTACTATTTTTAAAGATAACAGTATGTCATACAATTCCAGAAACAACAAAAGGAAATCCATTTGAGATTACTTAACAACTCAGCATGGTTGGAGGCAGGTGTGTGATGATTTAGTTGCAGTTTGTATGATACTAACAAGAGGCCGTAAAATTCCATTACTTACCAGTGCAAAACTAAAGAAGCAGTTTTGTCCAGCTGACTACTTTTGGGGGGATGTGGAATATTGTCTACATTGATTTTAGGGTGAACCATCACTTTAAAGAAGGACTGTCTGTTCTGCGACAAAGAATGAAACTTATAAACACATGCGTTGAAATGAGTGTTGAGTGTCTTTTGTGGTGATTTTGTCCTGTGCAGCCGTAATGCCAGCACTCTCACCACTTCTGACCTGCTGGCCTTGATCATAATGGTGCAGGACCTCTATCCCAGCAGCTTCGACCTTGATGATACTTCCCCTGAGGTGGGTTATCTGTTATTTAGACATTGTGTCGATATTCACACTCATTATCTTAAATAACCTCTATTATATTTGAGCATGGTGTATATCTACATGTTGTGCATTTAGGAGTTGGACATTACTTCAGCTCCTGACATTTTTTATACACCAGAGCACTCTCCCAGTGACCAAGACTCAGGTGAGTCAACAGTTTAACATTTTTGACATAGCCTTCAAATAGGTGTTGTGATGGATTTCCATGAATAAATTCAGGCAAAAACTATATAGCAATAAATTAAGGCAACAACGTAAACCATGAAAACTTTCCAAAACCTAAATTTTTTTGTTATGAATTTTTGATGTTCCCCCATATCAGGGTCTAAAATGGCTCTTAAATGTAGAGTTTAATCACTCACTGAATACTGATCCTGACTGAACTGAGCTGAATCTTTAAATAAATGTGAATACAACATTAAACTAGTGAAATATTATTTTTAATGTAAATAAATTCACACAAGTTTCTTTTAATGGAATTTAATTTCATATTAGAGCATGAAATCTTTCTTTTTTTCTATCTGTCTGTCTTTAGGAAGTATTGCCAGATTTCTATCACACCTTTGAAATATTAATTTTTAAAACGCTAGAGATATTATTGCAGAGACCACATTTTAAACGGATTTTTCATAAAGCTGAAAGTCATGAAGTTTCTATGAAATTTACATAAAAATTTTAACCCGCAGGGCGACTGAGCAGTGACAGCCCTCCTGTCTTCCAGTTTGTGGATCCTGACGTTCAGGTGAGGCAGTTGTTCACCCATATCTTTAAGCAGTGACATTTTTGTTGCCATCATAAGCCATTTATTCCTAAGACGTTTGAAAGTTAGTGATCTGTTTCCGTATGAATTCTTTTCAGTTTTTCACAGTTCTAAGGTTTCTTTCTTCATTTATTTTAGATGGCAGAAGACAGTCTTCAGACTCTTGAAATGCCTGTCCTTGACCCTATGACCCCTTCCCGAGTATTCTTGGAAGCCACACTGAAGGAGGGCTTCTTTCCCATGATGCCTCATTCCATGTACTGTTTACCTCTGTGGCCAAGTATTACTCTAGTGCTGCTGACCAAGGTGATATGTCTTACATACTATTTTAGAAGTATGAGCAAAGCCCACTTTTTTAGTTTTAGTTAGTTAGAGTTAGTACCTTTTCTGTACCTAGTTAGTTAGCTTTTTAACTGCGCATACGTCCAAAAATGAAATTTTCTTGTAGTGCAGTAAATGTGAAGTATAAATATGTTGAAAAATGTATGCATTTATTTGGAAGTGTAAGCAATGTTTAGGGCCACAAGGTGGCACCAGTTTACTGAAAGGCTACATTAGTTTAACACTGCATTGCTATTTATTTTCATGTCTGATCTAAAGAAATTCTGCATGACAGCTGTGTACATCATAAAACATGATTCCAGTATAACTGTGGCTTTTCAATTTGCAGTAGAACGTCATTTTGTGAAGTATTTATAGATCAGTACGATATCTTTCAACAGTCAGACTTTGCTGGCTTACATGTTGAGTTTGTTTTCAGTGTTTGAATTTTTGAGGATTTGGTCACATGCAGAGCTGTGTTTACTTGGTTGTCTTAACAGATCCCTAACAGTCAGGTGGCCATGTCTGTGTATGTGTTTCTGGAGGCCTTTGCTAAGCTGGAAAAAAGGCTGAGTGAAGGGTTGGAAGGGGCAGCAGCCACAAGGGGCCAACTCCCAATCCAGGAACTCCGTAACAAACTAGACAAGTTCATCAGAGTGCTGGCCAGCATGGATGTCCAGGTCAGGAGGAAATGGGATGGACTTATGCCTATTGCTTATTTTAAGCTGATTAATTACAAGCATTAATTACTATAAACACTGAGGTCATTAGGTGCACATACCTTGTACCTACACTAATTAGCCATTTTACCATATAGGTGCAATTTTACAAGTAGTGACTACATTCCTGTATCTCTTGCTGTTTATCAGTCTCCCTGTTTTCTGTCCATCAGTGTAAAGGGACCAGCATAGGACCACCACTGAGCAGATATTACTTGGGTGGTGAAACATTCTCAGCAGTGTACAGTTAGAAACTTTTTAATGCATAATCTGTCAGTCACATTCTAGCCTTTTATCAGGATGCTGTTGTTGGTTAAAGGACCACCCTGAACCCAGTACTGATATTGAGGCATATTAAAACTCTGAAAAGAGAGGAAAAAAAGAACACACATATTCCACAACAAAAAATAGTCAACAACTAAATAAAACAACTTTTTTCCAGTATTTAGTCAGTCCATCCTTTGGCTTATTTTTGGAAGACCTGCTTTTAGCGATGTTTTTCCACACATACAAAGCTCAGTCTTAGAAATCGGTTGCATTTTCTACTTCTCATGATCCAAACACGTTCAGTGATGTTCAGGTTTGGACTCTGGAGTGGTTAGTCCATTGTTCTGAGAACATCAGCACCTTGTTTGATATGCAAATTTTCTTCTTTTGTCTGTTTTCTTTTCTCAGTAACAGCTTCTTGACAGCTACACATCCTTTCAGACCCATAGCATTGAGTTGTCTTCTCATAGTGTTCAGATCTCAAGCAAGAGTGGAGCTTGATTTTCTCTGATCTTTCAAAGATGAAAGCTGATCTGTTAAAGCTGACAGTTCTGTTTATCTGATGGTGACGGTTTGGTGGTCTTCCCGGGTTTTTAAGTCCCATTCTCCCTATATCTTTCAGTCAGTTTTTGAACTTCAGTTTTGGAAACTCTTGTTTATTTCACTTTTCCTTTGACTCTCCTCTTCCTTAAACAAATGGATTATGTTATGTCTAATCTCCTCAAAAATCTCTCCTAAATAACTTAGCCTTAAAGGCTGTTTTGACTAAAAATTAAGTAAATGTAGCGTGGTCTCTGACTTTTGCACAAGTACTATACATAATGCGCTGAAAAGACGGCCAATGTCGGTACAGGGTAAGTGTATGTATAGAAAATTATAATAGTTTGTTCACCGTGCAATGTTTCAATCTAATGGGTTCATCCTTCTCATGTTCAGACCTCCCATCTTCAGAATGTTTGGTCAGAGTTCAAGAACAAGGCATTCACCCGATCAGGACCCGGCATCACCAGACCGTGAGTGCCTGTGTTTATGGTTGGTCTAAACACTGCAGGGTGCTTTGAGGAAATGACTCTCTTCTTATTACTAGACTGGATTACAACACCCCTGACCCTTCGATCCTTATGGACTGGCGTGTAACATTAGTGAAAGCTCTCCAAAATGCTTTGCGGCTTGTGTTGCAGGTTGGTGCCCTCGTGTCAAAGCATGAAGACACAGCTGTGTGCCGTGTACCGGCAGTGTTTTGCAGCCGAGTGTATGGGAGTTAACCAGCGACTGGCCCCTGCTGTTCAAGAGCGAGCTCTGAACATGGTGCAGTATGTCTGAGTTTGATTCTTATGTAATTCAGATGTAAGCAGCAGGCTTCATAGCATACTATTCATGCAGAGCTCCATCTCAGCATCCTTTTACTTCTGTTCCAGAGAAAAGCTGATGGACTGGAAGGACTTTCTGTTGGTGAAGAGCAAGAGAAACATCACCATGGTTTCATATCCCTCATTATGACGGCACTCTGCTGCCTTTATGTTTTTGTCTGTTAGAATTTGATGTCATTAGTTGAAATTTATGCACTCCTTACCTCTTATACCTCATTATGTTCTTCCATTCCAATTCTACCACTCTGAAGTGTCTCTGCTGTGGATATCATTTTGGCTGATTTATATTTCAGGATAGGTCTGTTTTTACATTTTTAGATTTTTAGATAGTCTTCATTTAAATTCTTCTTATTGGGATACATTTACTTTAACCATGTTCTCACTTACCTGGAGGAGTTCCCTGGTCTTGTGCATTTCATTTATGTGGATCGCACTGCAGGGCAAATGATTGCCCCATCTCTGAATGTGACTGACCGCACTGCTTCAGAACTTGGAAAGGGCCCCCTAGCGCACTTTATTAAAAACAAGGTTTGCTGTCACCATATATTGTACACGTGTATGGTCTTACTTTTCTTATGGTATTATACAGTTGTATGCAAAAATTTGAACACCCCCAGTAAAATTATGTGTTTTGTTGATTTTTTTCCTGTTTAACATTTTGGGAAAAAATACATATGATATGGCACAATTTATAACTTTTGCACAGGCCAAATTTTATGTTTTCTTTTTCCCAGTAAATTAAATTCTGCAAATAAACAATAATTGTGCATTAAAATTTACAGAAGTTTATTCTCTTGACTAGAGGTGCCCAAACGTTTGCATACGACTGCATATAAAACATCTGTGTAGCTCTTTTCATGAACATTTGTCGATAGTGTTTGTCCTCCTTTTTACATAGGTATGGCGTTTTGTTGCAACCACAAGACGTTATTTACAAAAAGGCTATACCACTGTGACTCTGCGAGATGGAGACTACTTCTTCTGCTACTTCCTGTGGTTTGAGAATGAGACGGTACGTGTGGTCTTCCTCATAATCATGATCTTCATCACTGTTTGTCAGAGGTGCAGCAGAACCATAATTTCCTGAAGCCCGTGAACATTTCTCCCCTGATTAGTACCATTCATCATCCCAAAGAGCAGATGTATGCAGTGTCTGTTGCTTTTTCTTTGGCAGGGTTACAAGCTGGAAGTGGTAGATATACCTAGCCTTCCTGATGACTCCGCTCCTATAGGAATGCTCGCCTTGGATTATTATAGGTAACGGGTTATTCTAAAGGTGTGATGATGCCTTATTCATGTCTTATGATGTGAGACAAAACTTGTCGTTATAAATGTCATCACTGTTGGCAACCCTCATATCTCCTCAAAAGTGCAAGATAAGAAAAACACTTTAAATTTTAGTTCATTTAAAGATTCCAAGTAATATTTTGTTGCTCCTTTCATCATGAAATTTTCTCACAGTATAAAGGACATCTGGTGTTTCCAAATTATGTCAGAAAAATTTATAAAGACAAAAATGGAGATGGTAGGAAAAATGTAAAGAGCCAAGTAAAAACATGGCTACATTTAACAGTATAACTATTTTTTTTGTCTCCAAGTACAACTGTTAAGAAGGATTCCTGTGGTTTTGGATTAAAAGAGGTTTTCAGGCTTGTTAGCTCAGGCTTAAGCTAATGGGCTAATGAGATCTGAAAACAATTATAATGGATGCAGCTGTTGGCCAATTACGACTTTAGTGGCCGGCTGGGCTTCCCCTGCTCAGTTCAACAGGCCTCCTAAAAAGCTTGATTGAAAAGAGTTTCACCAACCAGTTGGAGCTTAGCAGCAATTCTCTGTTGTCCCATAGGAAGCTGCTGCGCTTCTACAGTAAGAGCCACCAGAGTGAGGTGGTGAAGTGCTATGAACTACTGACCGTGCACCTGGGGGTGATCCCCACTGAGTACATCCTGCAGCACTGCAGCCAGCTGGCCCGGAAGCTGTGGGAGCCCTCCCGCATTCCGCTCCTATAAGCTGCTCCCTGTGCTTCCTCTGTGGCGGACCGTCCGACTGCTCCTCCAGCAGGTTCCCTCATCAGCACTGGGAGCATGCTGAGGCCATCTTTACTCCACATCTGCTGGAATGCTATGCAGTGATATACCCTCAGCACTCTCCTGTATATTTTCCAGTCTGTTTCTCTAATGTTCTCCATTACCTGTGCTGAGCTGGGCCTGCACCATCAATCCACGGCCCTTATCTTTATGTGGCTTTGACAAATTCTTTTTGATTGTGTAAAAGTTCTCATGAAGCCTCTTTCTCAAACTGTTGTATTAACATGTCCTGAACATAGAAGTGTCAGGAAGTTCTCACCTCCCTGTTTTGCAATAATACTGAGCACACTGCACCCATTTTACTGTTACTGGAAGAAAATAGCTGTGTATTTAAGGAAATTCTCACCATGTTAGTTCTTCTGTGTATTTTATGTAAAAACACTTTCCTAAGAACATTTTATAAATCTTACTGTATGTAGCTTTAAACGACGATCAAGTTAATCGCCAGCATTACAGCACAGCTGGCTACACGTGTACCTTTGACCTCATATTCAGATGTACATTAAGCCCACCTTTAAGAAGTATGAGCTACTGTGTTGTTCTAATTACTGGATCGTATTAAGCAATAGAAATGTGTGCACTTTTTGTAAAAGATGAGATTCTGAAAAATGTTGTAAAGGAAATTTTATTAAAAATGCCTTAAAATACTCTGAGTAATCATACATGTGTTATGAGACCTTTTACATTTTATCTGATGATCTGATGAGTTGGGCTGGATAATAGTGCCTTAAACAGTAGTGCACACCATGGAAACGTAAAGAAATACTTCAGCAAAAAATCTAATTTACATAATTTTCCTTCTTACCTCAGATGTCAGCCAAGATGTGTGTGGTGTCCAATTTTTTTGTGATATGAGATACCGTTCCGTAAATACATCCCCAAAACTTCACTCAGCCAGCTCAAACCACATCCAGCCCTTTATTAATTTCCCACAGACTTGTGGTTTAGGACACAGTGCGACTTACTGTGAACTATAAAAATGAATGCTGAATTTACACATTTCCGGTGTTGTGCCTAAATTTGACTGCTCTTCAAGTTACGTAGGCATGTGGACCATACAGAGTTTGTTCGCAATTTGTATTGTTTCTTTCTATAACTGTCAGTTGTATTTTCAAAATAAAGATATATGTTTCTAAGACGAAACAGCAGAAATTGTGAATGTAAACCGGAGACGCGCGTGCACGCGATTGGGAGGCAGTTTCTGCGAAGGAGTCGGAATTCGGCACAGCACCTCTTCTCTAAAGTGGCTGTGTTCAGCTACACAGAGAAGATTTGGTCGTTTTTATAGTTCTCAGTAAGTCATACTGTCCTCTAAACCACATTAATAAGTCTGTGCGACCTTAATGAAGACCTGGATGTGGTCTGAGAGTTTTTTGCAGATGTATTTAACCTGCAGCGAAGATAACTTTCAGTATTTGTTAGTTAGCATTGTTAGCCTCGTAGGTCCAGGGCTAAACCAAGGACGCAAAATTTGGACACCAAACAAGTCTTGGCTTTTGTAACTTACTACATCTAGGGTAAGTGGGAAAACTGTGTACATTTGAGTTTTTGCCTTAACATTCCCTTTAATTCTGAAATTACTCTTACTGGGCTAAAAGAGTTCATGCTAATTTTAAGAGTGTATCCTAAACCTAGAGTTTTTTCTTTTTTCCCATTTCGTATCTGCAGCCGCTTGTGGGTCATGCATTTGCCACATTGAACAAACCATCTCCACAAGTGGTTGATTTTTTTTGTGTCTCCTTTTTTCACTCATATGTTGTTTTGCATCTTGCTTTGAAACCCAATCTTTTACTTGTTCTCTGAGTTTCTAATAATAGTGGTGCTGCACGGAGGACCCAGAGACGCTGTGAGATCATCATAGCGCACCTGTGAGGTCACGCACGACTCCAGCTTTAACTAGATCCCGCAGTAAGAGGCTCTCAGTGCTGACATCATGCACTACTTGTGCCATCATGGCGTCCATGCGCAGAGTCTCATAGTAGTGCAGCGGGGCTCCAGGCTGCTGAAGGTCATAGCCAAACCCAGCCAGGCTCACTTCATCACACAGCTGCAGCGCCAGCACCATCGCGCTGATCCCCAGAGTAGGAACAGTCTAGGACAGATTATTAACCACTCTTCAGCAATTCACATGTACACCTAAAACTGGAGCTTTGTTAATCCAGTAACCACTTAACTGCCAGCTTATTATTCCGTTGTCAGTCTCGTTAAGGTGCATTACTCAGTAACCAATAAATAAACAAATAATTTGTGAACTATTTTGAAATTAATATATAAAATATGTACGTTTGTTAGTGATCAATTGAAGTGTGGCCACTAAGGTCCTGAAAAAGACGTATGTGTTTCTGTAGCAAGACAGCAAACAATAGAACGTGACAGAGAAATAGAGCAATTGTCAGATATGAAGGAGGCTAGAGTTATCTGTAATTCTGGTGAATTCAACTGTATATCCATGCTAAAAGACCAAGAATCCAAGGACTAGTCATTTGTCTCACCTTTCTTTGCTGTTGTTTGTAAGATAGCATTACATGCCATGTCCTCTTCAGTATTTCAGGATTCAGTATGCGAAAGCTTTCTGGCTGAAGTGGAATCTCATTGACCACATGCCTCCAGAACCACAGTTTAGACCACCAGCTCTAAAGAGAAAGAGAAGAATTTCAGTGTATGTACATTTCGTGTTTGCATAAATACCAAAAGGCTGTTGTAGAATAAGATAGTGAAGCATCAGAGATCTGCTCACCAAAGGCTTCTTTGCCACAACAGAGGCAAGCCACTCTAAATCCAGGCTCTTGAATACAACTAAAGCAATTATATCCGTCTTCTGGTATTCCTGTTGTGAAAAGGGGGCCCCTTCAGGATAGACCAGTCGAATGGTAGTTCTTGAACCGGCATCCGTCTCAAATCCAAATACCGGTGCATTGTTCATCCTAAAAGTGTTTAGACGACACGCTTTGTTTATGTTATTATTTTAAGATTGATGATGTACTCCAAATGCACATTTTTTTTGAGCTGAGCTGGTGAAATCACTGTAAATGTCATTCACAGCTCTTAAAAACATGAAAATTAAACAACCTTAAGAAATATTTGTCTTCAGTTGGTGGTGTACATTTAAAATGCTGAAGATTTGTTGTATACCACAAATATTCAATGCAGTGATAATAATAGTTTTAAATTAACACTAACTGCTAAAAGGAGAGTAAAAATGAAAAGAATCAAACGTGAATGCAAAAACATTAAGTATGTTAAAATAATAATAGAAAAACAAAGAATAAATCATATTTTGAAAATATATAACCATGTAAAAAAATCAACTAACATTTCACTAACAAAGGTCTGAGTGATGATCTTAATTGTGCTTTTATAAAAGATGCTGGTATAGAAGGTGACAATTGTTTCTTCCTAAAATTTTTCATCTTTTTTTTTTAATTTATTGATTCTTTCATCTATCATTTATCCATTTCCCAGATACCTGATGATGATGTCATATTTATCTATATGGGTTCCAAGCTGTTTGCCATGCAAGACTCCGCCACTCCCCACCACCATGCATCTTCTACATCTCTCTGGGGCAGAGGGCAGCCCAGAAAGGGGGAGAGCTTTGAGGGTGTGGGCCAGTGTCTCTTCACTGCCCTGCAGGCCCAGCGGGGGCGACAGCTCCCACTCTGCCGTTACATTCTGCAGGAAGACAGGGATGTCCAGCAGGCTGCGGAACTGAGGTATTGTGCTCAGCCTCGCTGTGCTCCAGCTGCTGCTGCATGGCTGAGACAACAGGGCTGCAGAGCGATTGATCAGAACCTGCCGAGAAACAGTGATGTGAATTTGTTTTAACACCTCCAAACTCAGGATGTTTTATATTACTTTCCTGTAAACAAGTGGTTCTCTGTCCTGGTATATTTTTGGTTGTTATAAATGTAGGATAGGAACTACTTTTCCTTCCACACTCTCCATTTGCTTCTGATGCACATAGACAAGCACAAACAGATACATGAGAAAGAGTGAAAACTTTTTGATGGTAGATCATATGGATTTCATTCCACTAAATAGTGAGCATATAGGGCAGTTTATGTAATACTAAAGCAAAAGCTTTAATTCCAAATTCCTACTGATGTTCACTGTAGAAATGTACAAAAAAAAACTGCTTTCACATGCACAAGAAGACTTTTTAAAGTTTTTGTATCACTTATAAGATGTAACCTTTGGTAGTACTTGGTATCAGATCAAAAAGAAAATTAGTAGTATTGCCTATCCATAATTTTAGTGTTTTCTTGATTCAGCTAATTCAATTAATCATCTTATTGTCCAAGCCTCACCCACAAATGAGCAGCTGGACAAGCTTTGCAGAATTTTGACCAAAATTCCATTCAGCTTAATTAAAATTAAAAATGCTATTGTATGGAGCTGTAGTTGTAGCAGATTGAAGCTAGGCAGGCTTGTAATTGCCTCCATGCTAATGTTAGCTCAATTGCACGGCAACAGAAAACTGCTTCTGGTCTGTCCAACTGTATGACATTTTGCATGCAACATAATTTATTACTTGAAATTAGTAGCACACTCTAAATGTAGGTTTGTAATTAAATAGGATGGTTGTCAGTGTTCTGTAAAGCTTGTACAACCTTGCAACAGTTGCTACAAAAGCATGCATTTGTGGGCAAAGTCTGGATACTTTAATTAACAAGCCCTTCCTGATTTCAAATGGGTTCATTAGAGAAGGAAAAAATGTGCTCGGCCCGGGTTGAGAACTACTGCCATGGAGTAATCCTTATCTTAAAGCCTAACCCTTTTTATCTAGTGTGATAAAAGAGGAAAGGTTGTGTTTGGCAGAACCAGCAGTACCACCGTATTAAATGGTAATTAAGGGGATATTAAGTTTTTAAGTTAAACTCTGTACCACGGACTGAGGGGTGGTTCTCTCACTCCAGATGGATTGCTGAGTAGGCAGATATGCAGGGACAAGAAGTGCTGAATAACAGCCCAGAAGCAGGACAAGGCTCAGAGCAAAGTTTTTCTGCCTGCACAGATAGAGATAACACATTACTACACACTCACAACTTCAGTAGTAGCAGTATGTGAAATACCACATCCTATAAGCAATTGATGAAACAAATCTACAAAACTCCAGTGTGGCCTATGCAAAAGGTCACTGTCCCCTTGTTCATGCTTATTATATGTGAACCCACTGGTTGAGGAAGAATTCTCTGGACTCTTCTCTCCGATGCTTGGTGCCGGAGGTCTTGGAGCTTCCTGCTTCCACAAGCTCCGGAGTACTGCCCTCATCAGGGTCCTTTACGCTCAGGTGCTTTAAAGGGACCATCTAGCCACAGGGTCCCACACTTCTGACAGTGCCTGAGCATTCCTCCTGGAAACAGCAGCAAAGCCAGACGTTTCCACAGTGAAACCAGTAAACCTGAAAGCATTTCAGCCGCCCACTCTCAAAGGCACCCGCCACGTTCTTTGCATGTGGGGAATGGCTAGAGGAATAGATTGTTAAAACATTTACAGAAATGGTTATTCACTTACCTCCTTTTTCAGATTTTATTTCTTATTATTGGCATGAAAGTCATGGTTGTGTTGGACAGAAAGCAGCAGTGCCCTTTCAACTCAGTGACTCTTAGCAGCAGTTATATGAGAGTGTTGTTTGTCTCTGACTGATCCTTGACAGTCAGGGTTAATGATTCACCTGGCTCTGTGGGACCTTGTATACAATGCGTAGGAGTCACGTGTAGATGTCATATACAGTTTGGAATTTGGTCGCTAATTTTAAAAGAAGGATATGGATACATTTAAACTGAAAGAAAACTGTTTAAGTATTGAACACCGCTCTTATTATAGTGCCCCCCTTTAAAGGGGTATTCCACAGATTTTTCATAATTTCTGCTTAATTAAATAGTTAGGATGTAAATCAAGTCATTGAGAATAGTTTCATGTTAAATATTCCATTCTGGAGAAACTTGCGAAAACAGAATTTTTCACAGTGGTGGTGATATGTGATGTGTCTAGTTATGAATACATTACCTGATGACATTGTTTTTATGATAGTTTTAAGATAAGTTCTTGGCCTAAAACATATTTTTAAAAATGTGTTCATAGCTGAGAGAAACATGCAATGCACTGTAAAGCAAAATAGTACCCAAAGAAACCTCAGATGTACCATTATTTTATCATTATCAACATTAAATATAAAAATTTGAAAGACGTGTTGGTTTCACTTGTTGTTTTTGAAAGTAAATAAAATGGCTTTATTCATGTGTTAGACATCATAACCCCTGGTTCCTAACACCACCACTGTAAACAATTCCCAAGCAGCAACTTAATTCTGAAATACTGAAATTGTGGGAAGTTATTTGAAATTCAGTAAAATCAAAATTTTTAACATAGCCAAATTAGTTAATTTTAATTAGTTAAAACACTGAAGAACTTTTACAGTGCATATTCTACACACTCAGTGAAAAAAAATAAGATAAGAGTAATCATACATTTGATGCAAGTCTTTCCATCAATGCCGAGTCGTACAGCATGTTCACATGCAGTATTTATTAGATTCAATTGCATTATCATTGTAGCATCTAACAGAACACTGTGACCTTTTCTCATCCATTTAAACAATCTGCTTCTGGACCTCCTTTGCAGTGGTAATGACTGTACACTTAGTAAACAACTATGCTTATTAGCTTGTAGTTATTTTAATACCGTCTCGTGCTACATTTGTGGACATTCCTGCTCAAGTGTGACTTCAAGGATGGTCCTGAATGCTCTGCGATGACTGGCCATTGTATGGTGTGACAGTAGCAGGTATTTACAAGGTATCACTTGACCCTAATGAAACACTTATAAATAACGTAATCCCCAAAACAGTGTGTTTATTAGGCTGAGGCTCTTGTAAAATGGGGGCTCCAGGACCTGGCACAGGACGGGTCAGTGGAAGTGGACGTCCCTGGCCCGAAGTTTGAGCTCATGGGACAGGAGTGGGTCAAATGTCGCAGTGCTATCCAGCTCCTGACCACACCTGTTACACAATGCTTACTGTGGGCTTTACATTCCTGCTGTGTGTATAAGAGCACCCCCATCACATCTCATTCTCTATAACCCTGTGTCTCTTAGCAGACTCCACACACTGCTTATTTATAGGTGCCAGTTACCGTTAAGGCTTTCATTCAGAGTAACCTATTATTATATATTATCAAGATAAAGACACTTGTGCTTCAGTAGAGCTGCTAGTGGCTAGTATACGTCTGCTTTCAGATTGTGATTCTCTTTCATCAGGATGGACGAGAGTATCCTGTGGGCCACTACTGTAGTGGACCGAAGAGCTGAGCTGGATAAGCGAGAGCAGGTCTGGCTGATTTTAAGAGATTCTGATTGAAAATGTTGTTGTTGTTTTTAAGTTATAGAATAGCTTTGAGGATGTGTTAGTAAACAAGGACTGTTTTACAGCTGTTTGGTTTGCTTGAAAGTAGTGAGGGTGCATGAAGAAATGCTTTGGAAAATTATTGTACATTTAGGTTGATACCACAGTGTTTAACATCAAGTTTGGTTGGAAATAGCTTGAATACTGATAGGCTTTAAATGTGTAACTACTGTTCTATACTAATACTAAGATGTGTCAATGTATTATTTTGATATTTTGTAATTCACATTATGATGACATCATTAGAATATATGACGTTTGAAGTCAACTTGAAATCAAAATTGACCATTTTTCCTACCCATTAGTTAATATGATTGGTCATATTGTCACAATTCATCAAATCATACCATTTAAAAAGACAGCAGTCTTGTTTTTTCCTGTGATCTTCCGTTAAAAAAGTGTGTCATGGTGCAAAAGGAGAATGTGCTGTGAGTTCCCATTCACTTTAACCTTAATCAAGCATTTTAATGCACGTTCGAAAAAGTAAATTCAGTAGCTTATTGAATTATGAAATGTCATTACTGTCCAAAAAACAAAGAAACAACAAACATGTACCTTAATTTATGAGAATTTTTTTACCTTGTGTAAAAGTTTTATGAAGAATGGAGCAATAAAAATGCAATTACAAAATTACAAAAACAATTGGAATACAATCTCTTTACATCAACTTCTAAGAAAATGTTTGCCTTCTCCTGTAAAGTTACTATTTTGGAGATAAATGATTTTTTTTGGACAATGATGATTTACTCTTTTACACTTAGTAACTATTAAATAACTACTATCTGTAATTAACTCTTACAGATGGCAGTAACTTACTGAATTATTCATTTTACTCTTACAGACAGTAGTTAGTACTAAATGTCATTTTAAATCCACATTAGACTGTTTATCAAGTTTTGTGTTAATGAAGTTCAACATCTTCTTGCGTCTTCTTGCCTTGATGTTTTCAGAAACGTCGAGCACGTGCACGGAAGCTGGGAATTTTGATAGTGCACAGCCCTGGAGACACCACAGAGAAGAGCAGTGAATCACTTAATCAGAGTATTGCAAATGTGCAGGTCAGAGTGTGTCTGATTTTCTATGTATATAAGCATATGTGCATTTCTTTGCACTAAGAATGTTCATTGATGGGATAAAACCTTCAAAGAATTGACTTAACAAGAAAGTTGATTATTAAATTTTGGTTACTTTAAAACAGGACTGCCCAAAGTGCGGCCTGTGGACTAAAGTTGAACCGTGAGGTGCTGATTTGTCTTGTCAGAAAGTTATCGTAATCCCAACCCCTCACTAAATGAGAGAACAAGCAAATTTTTCATATTACATATAGCTTAAATTAAATTCTTATTTTTAAAGTATTTTAGTAACAGAACATAGTGTAGAGTTATAAAATACATAAAAAAAAATGTTTTTGTATTTCTGGACTTTGAACAGCTTATTGGTTTGTCTAGACTACTAATGGTGGTGGTGTCGATAAGAAGACAGGCAGAGGAGGTTTCAGTGCAGCAAGTTCAAACAAAGGAACCATTAGTCTCTATACAAAGCATGATATTAATTATAAACTCATCATAAACTAAACAGTCTGTGATAAATAAATTCAAACAGACATGCTTGTCAGTAATGCATATCTTTGGTAAAGGAATCAAAAGATCATTTTGTCACAGACAGACACACCAAACCAGCTCACAGCACCAAGAACCTGCTTAGGAATGTCTATCATGTACAAGTGTGCTGGTTATTTAAGTCCACCCATGTGATCAGGAAAAAGGAGGGGCTCCACTGACGGCCGCTCCAGTGACACCTAACAGTGTTACCACAGTGTGTTTTTACAAATAAAATTGGTACTTAAACGATAAATGCAAATGATGACATGACTTTTTCATTAAGTTAGAATGATAAGATTAATTATTTTCAACATACTTCTCACTGTTTTTGGCCTATTGCAGTCTTCCCATGCTGGAATGACCTGTGCACAGGGAACTCTCAGACCATCTTTGGTTTATTGAGTGTCACTCTATATTATGACTGCTATTAACCAAACTCAGCACCCTGGCATCTAATGGTTTACAAGCCTAGAGGTGTCTGTGCTGGTCACCAGCTTTATTAATGGTCAGAAATGAGTGGAACGCAGAACAGTTCCTGTGCCTTAGCTCACACTGTGCCCATAAACATGAGAGAAGCATACTGCTTTTACTGTGCTGCAGTAAATAGCTGAATGGTCTCTGCTGGAAACAGCTGAACTTTCACATCAAAAAGCCTTTTATGTATACTGCGAATTGTATTTCCACCTTACATTTCAGTTTACAAAAAAAGAGAAAGAAATCAAACACGTGTCATATTTTGCCATTGTTATACTATTGAGATTAGTGTAAATCACTCTGATCTTCACTTTATCCAAAAACACATGGGCACTTGATGGATACCTTCAACATATACCATATTTTCAATGTGCTGACAGGCTGAGGAACAGGCGAGGAAGGTCTTGTCTGAACTCAGGCGTGAGATAGTAGATCTTGGAGGTGCTGAGAACATCACTCAGCTTCGTTTGAGGAAGAAGATCAAGAACAAAGCAGTTGACCCAAGTGGCCTGGCTGACGTTCCTGCGGTGAGGAAACTCAAGCACTTTCACTGAAAATAGTATCAAAGCCTACTAACTCAGGGTTTTATGTATTTTTTAAATGGTTAGATTTCATGATTTCAATCCAGACTACTTGCCAAACTAAAATTCAAGCGAAACGAAATGCACTACTTTATTTTGGCGGGCTACAGAATTTTCCTTTTAGTATCTCCAACTCTGAAATAATGTTTTTCTAAAAATGTTTTTATCTCGTGTACCATGCAGGGGCCTGTGGATCGTGAAGACTTCTTAATGGCAGCTACAAAAGGAAAACTAAAAATTGTGGAAAAGTTCTTAGAAGATGGAGGTGATCCAGACACGTGTGATGAGGTATTTCTGTACCAAGCACAAATCATAACCATGCTCCCTCTGATGCTGTTGTAACAAAACCTTGTATCTCCATTTTTATTGTTGATCACTTTTTTTACATAATTGAAAAGTGCCAGCTGCCCTTGACACAAAACATTGTGTAAATTCTATGATGAATGGATATGGCATTGACTTGCATTAAAAGTAAAGTATGTTTTTGCCTTCTAATGTAAAGTTACTTTTTTGCAGATAAAAGGTTTTGTTTTGACAGTGACAATACATTCATTCAATCATTTAATCATTTGTTCATTTTTTCACACAGTTCAGAAAATCAGCACTGCACAGGGCAGCTTTTGAGGGTCATGTTATGGTTGTAGAGAGGTTACTGGATAAGGGAGCAGACATCAACTTACAAGACCGCGTAAGAAAATTTGAGGATCTTCTCTGTAAATCAATGCAGTTTATTCAGGTTTCTAGGATCCTTCATTTATGGTGCCGTTTTGAAATGAACTGGTTTTTTTACTGCTGTTCTCTCAGTTGGACTGCACAGCTATGCACTGGGCTTGCAGAGGTGGACGTCTAGGAGTTCTCAAAGTCCTGCAGAGCAGGGGAGCTAAGTTAAACATTAGGGACAAGGTAATACGTTTTTTAAAAGCCCTAGACCTGAACCATGACTCTACAGATGAAGTACATTCTTTACATTAGCATGATTCCCATCCCCACAGCTCATGAGCACACCTTTACATGTGGCTACCAGGACTGGTCACTGGGAAGTTGTGGAGCACCTTCTGGCCAGTGGCATCAAAATTAATGCCCAAGATAGGGTAAGAGCTGTGGAGTTATGGACAGTTTTGTGCTGAGATTTTTTACAGCTTTAAGAGTGTGTCATGTATTTAGTTAATATCACAAGCCTAACCCATTCTGATGGTTCTTAAGGAAGGGGATACAGCCCTGCATGATGCTGTCAGACTGAACCGATACAAAATTGTCAAGTTGCTTATTTTGGCTGGAGCAGACATGAAGATCAAGAATGCTGTAAGTATTGCAGATGAACAAATGTAGTATGTTTATAACTCCACGATTCCCAGACTGGTTGAGTTTTATTATAAGCACAACTCTGTGTATTTCAGGAGGGCATTACAGCCACAGAACAGGTGAAGATGTGGCAGTTTGACACCAAGGAGACGCTGGAGAAGCTGGAGCAGATGAATGAGGGGGGACTGGCCTGAATGCCACACTTCATCACTTCTGATTGAGGTTGAGGGGGCTACAGCTGAGGAGGCTGGTGTCCACACATGGGAGGACTAATGCTGGAACTCTGTTGCTGGATTGATGCTCCTTGTTAGCTGAATTATGTTGAATGGCTATGATAAAAGCCTGCTTTATTTATAGATTATGCATGGAGCAATACAGAAACGTGAACATTGCCCTGTTGGGTAAACAAAGTCATTTTGGATGGTTTGATGTGAAATGCATTTTGGAGAAACTTACTAACTCTGATTTATTTACTGTGGTGATGATAGGAACCAGGGGTCATAATGTTTACAACGCAAATATAGACATTTTATTTACTATCTAAAATGAGCAGTGAACTTACACATCCACTGAGTTTTTATGCTGACAGTGGTAAAGTAGTGGTAAATCTGGAATCATAACTATTTCATGTAATAGCTTTCAATCATGTAGCTTTCATGCATTGAATGCTTCAGATGTCTGGTTCCTGTCACCACCACTGTGAACAATTCTGAAACAGAAAGTTTCTCCAGAATGATGCTTTTCACATTTTACCATTCTAAAATTACTTTCAGCACACTTTCTTAGCTATAGAAACCTCTCTTGTGTTTACACTACAGCACAAAATGTATTTAAATATTAATTTATTTGAAATGGTTAGTTTGTTTTTGCCTATTATAGGATACAGGTGGATACAAGTGACTCCTCAAAATTTCAGATTGTTACAGAGTGTATTAGTGTTTCTGTTATTGCACCTAACTCAGGATTTGTTTAATTATTCTGTCTCAGGAATTCTAGCCTTACACTTGACATATTTAGCATTTCATTAAATATTCATTTGGTTCCATCTACTACTTGTTAAATATTCAAGCATTTAAGCAGATCTGAGACCTTTATTCTTTAACATTTGTTACATTCTTGGGTATAACTTTGTCTTTTTTCATGTAACGGAAACCCACAACAATGCTAACTGAATATTTGACCGACTGCACTGGTATGATTTTAGGGCCGAATGCAATTTGAATGATTGAAATTGCGACTGAAATGGTTTCTTACATGTACATGACAAAATTTGCCTGGATTGCTAAGGGCATTAATGTACAAATGTTAAGGGCTTTGTTTTATAAATATAAGCCAGTGTTCATAGAGCACAGAGGGAGCATGGTTAGGATTTGTGCTTTGTCCCTGACTTAACAGAGGGGTTTGTGAAGAGGCCACGATGCATAGTTTCCTGATATTATCAGGGGGCACCGTTCTGCCCGGGTGAAATAGATATGCTCATGCCAGTCATATGAGACAGTTAGATCTTGCTTTAAAATTTTGCAATCCTCTGCTTCATCAACTTAAAACTGACAATATAGCAAAAATGTCCCTTGACCTGTGGAGAAGAGTGCAAATCGATAAGTGGGCTTTTTTAAGTGGGTTTTGTAAGCACCACACACACACAGCAGGGAGTCTGCGAGAGTGGTAATCCCTGCATGTGGCCTGCTTACACGATGACCTCTGAGTTTCTGGCACTGTGTCATTAGTGCATAGTGAGGGATTTCTTGCCACTGGCACTGTCAGTTGCAAGCTATGTAAGCCTGTTAGAATAGGAATTAATTCAGTTTTTCAATGGATAGTTTCACTGGAAACATCTTCATGCTTACCGAATGATTAATAATGTATGGTAGATTGAAAGTTTGAATATGGATCTTGTTTTGCATTGTAAATACAGTATATTCCATATTTACGTATATATCTACACTGTATGAAAAACAAAAGGCCCACAGTTGAGAGGTAATGATGTTAGCAGTACTGCTGCACTAGACAATGCTGGAATTAATTGGCATTATCTTTGGAATGCAAACCAGTATGACCATCAATGTTTCATCTGTGAGCACTGTACACACTTAGCTAAGGTATAGTTTGGCTCTGCTGAACATATAAAACATGTTTCTCAGCTATGAGCCTTCAAATACTGTTTCAGCAACTTTCTACCACCAAAATGTAGGTCATGAGAAAAAAGTGTAAAATCAGGAAACTCTTCATTAAATAAAAGCCTGTATTATAACATGGCTATGGCTAAACACGTTGAGAGATTTTTTTGTCCATAGTCATTTATAATAAAGGCTTTAATTAATGAGGAGTGCCATGGTTTTACAGTCTTTTCTCAAGATTTTGAACCCGTGGCCATACAGCACCTTCAATCCTTAATGTTTATTTCCCAACCAGCAGCACTTTCTGTTTAATTTTGTTGAACAAAACATAGATCATTTTTAGAACATCAGTAATGTACTTTAGCGGTATACTTCAGAGTTGCATTATTTTGCATGCAGTGTGTTAGTATGACCACTGGAGGGCACTGCTTAGCCTGGTTTGGTCATCATGTCTGGTAAAAGTAGTAGTGGCTTGAATCTCATTTGTTCACAATAAGATGAAGCTAAATAGGCAAATGACCAGGCTCACTTATTGAGTGCTGTGGTGGCGTTAAAATATATATTACAGAGCATCTGGTTTTGTTATAAAGAAATTTCTTCATTTTATCTGCTGCACAAAGACTTGCTTTTGGTGTATGTAAAGGCTGTAATCCAATTTATGAGCAGAAAGCTTGCGGTCAGTCACTGGTATGACTGCACTTTTCATATAGGAATTCAAAATAGGGACCGAGTGAATTGTAATTTCTGGACAATAAAAACAAGCACTTGCTGAGCACCTCATCAAAGCTTTTTATTCTTCTTTGAAATCTGCATTTTTTTTTCCTAAAAGGGAAAAAAACTTTTTTTTCCATTCTGTTCAAGTAAATACCAAAGGTAATACACATTTTGGTGTTAGAGTGTTTGATAAAGTGATGAGTAAAGCTCCTCTCATGGATACTGTGCATGGCAAAAACAGTGTAAATACAGTTAGTCAATCAAACAAAATCTCTGAAAATGAACAGTGTTAGTAGTGGGTGGTATGGAATATCAACTAGTATGTTTTTAAATATTATTCATCAGATAGATTGCATTTTTCTGTGTATATTCATTCCAACTTTTAGGTGTCTGCAATGTATTTACATGATACACTAACACTTTGTAACTTCTAAGTACATGCTCGTATAATCCAATTTCATTATTTACAAAACTGCCCTCACATGTATCATCAAAATACTGCACTGCAAGTGCATAAATATAAAGGATTCTGATACACATACTGGTGATTATCATGTGAATACACGGTCAGAAAGAACACTTCTGTGAACTCCTCAAAGCCCAGACTGCCCGATTTCAATTAATAACACTTAATTCTGTACAATCTTAAAGTAAGTCAACTAATAAGTTTCTGTTTATCTCTATCACTGACATTGGGTTTCAAATGTAATTCGTATGAGGTATATATACTCATTCATAAATAACATTTTGATATACTTTTAAATGAATCACACAATGCAAACTGTGCTTAAAGTAACACTGAAATAACTTAAGTGATGATAAATGTATTAAATAAGTGATAAAGAAAGTGCACAATCACCGTCTCACAAAGGCAAATAATTTGTTTTACAAACACACCTTCATTTCCAGCACTCTGTAGCCCCATGTTGTTAATGGTGACTTTGGTTTGTCAATATCTAAGATGAAGTGGTTCTCAATTATGCAGCAATAAAAAACTTTGCCCATTTTTTTGATGTTCTTTAAGCCATAGGCAACCAAGGCAGAGCAGCACTGAGAAACAGAGACAGAGAGAGAAAGAGAGAGAACGGAAGGGAAACCCTGTTATCCATTCCTGAGGGTCTTCTGGAACGTACACATCAAGGGAACCCCTCTACATACAGCTCCAGAAGCGGTTCTGCTCTTTAACTTTTACCACTGCATTAGAAGTAGAGTTTAGGGGTTGATCTGAGAGCAGCAGTATGTGTGTGTGTGGGGGGGGTGTTTCCTCACTGAGGGCTGCTGGTCATACAGAGAGGCCGCGGGCAGAGGAAGCCGAGCTCCTGGCCCGCTGCACCACCGCCTGGCTCTTTTCCCGTTTCAGCAGCTTGTTGTTGGAAAAGACCCCCTCATTCCGTGGAATACCATGGGAACCATCCGGAAATGTCAGTAACCCTGCAAGAGGAGCCATCATCATGGATAAGATCTCTATTGGCCCATTCTTCATTTCATTAAGTTCCACAAGCAATTTCAGCACATTTCTGCAAACACACACCATTACTGCAGATAAGGCTGCAAATTTCACATTTCTCTTTACAGTTCTCATCATTTTCCAACAAAGTGTGGAACTTTAACAGTTAATTAACTGAGTGCATCTATAACAAAGCTGCATATTTACTGCACAACATCATCATAGGCCTGTAATATTTCATTAGATTGTATTTACTAGATTTAATTGTCACTGACTGGAAATAATAGAAGCCCTCTCATTGCTCTCTTCAAAAGTTCTGATAAAATTTAAAACTGTACCATATCCTTCCACACGACCGTTCTTGAATTCCCCTTCAAACTTCATGCCATCGAACCTGCTGAAGACTCCAACTCCTTGGAATTTTCCTTGGACAAATTCACCCTCATATCTTGAAGCCAGAAACAGTGTTAAATGTATTAGTAAGTGATCATCACACATACAACAAAAGTACATACAGCATGTCTAGCCAACACTAAAGCATGCTTATCCATGAGATCTGAGGCCCATATCTTCATTTTGCTTGCATTTATTCCACTTACTGTTATGTGTGGTTCAGTAATTCATTTTTATGTGACCATTTTCCAATCTCCCTTTATCCCTTAGAATTAAACAGGCTGTTTTTGTTACTGCGCCTTTAAAACCGATATGTAAATAAGCTCTGTTCTGATTTGTTGCAACCAAACAGAAGTGTTTCAGCCAGGCCTGCTTTTTATCATTCATAAAAAAGCAGGCCTGGCTGAAACACTTCAGCTTGATAGACTAAATAGGTAGACTTGCGTAAATTTTCAAAACAGGCTGAGAAGTTAATATTTTGAACTTTACCAATGTTTATATACTATATCAAATTATTTTAATTAAAAAAAAATTGGGGAAAATTCAGTTTTCCATGATGTGGGCCCTTTAAGTGCTACTATGCTGCCTGAGGATAGTAATCTGATCACACATTGTCTCACCTGGATCCGTCAGGAAACATAAGCACCCCACAGCCGTGGAACAGGCCGTTCTCAAAGTGGCCCTTATAGCAGGTACCATCAGAGAACTTCAGCTGCCCTACACCATGTCTCTTCCCTAAATATGACACACATATCAAACGTCAAATAAGATACCGCATTTAATGTTGATAGCAGAACAAGAGGTAATCAAATGCTACAGAGGAAATCAATTTCAAGTTACAGTACAACTCTTCTGTTATCAAACCACTGTATTCACTAGATTCCTCCTCTGAGCTAAAAGCCACAGACCACCTTTGTGGATTACAGCCACAGAAAGCCTTTAAAAGCTATGTGAGGGCAATCTTGTTGAGTCACTGGGAGACAGCTAATTAGGATTTAGCCTTTTTGGCAAAAGTTGTTTTTGGCATTCACTAATCCTAAATGCACAAGGATGTAGTTTGCAAAAAGAACTAGAGTTGTCCTGATTTGTGAAGGTCTAGACATTTTCCATAATTCCGCAAAAGGTACAAAATGTATATGATGCTTTAAGTTGTGATATTGCACAGTGAAGTGGTTCTAATAATCTAATGTTGATCATCTTTAATGCTGTAAACACATCAATAGGTAAGAAAAGCTCTGTTTCGAGGCTGTTTAAGCTGCACTGTTGGATGTGACACTGTAATGCCAAAGCCACAAAACATGAAAGAACACGGGTACACACTTGTTTTAAGAAAGGAACTGTTGTGATATGAAGTCCAGACTATTTACTGGGTAACAACTTGCCTTCTTTCCATTCTCCACTGTACTCTTCTCCAGTCGAGTAAGTAAAGGAGCCCCTCGTCAGTGTCATCCCTCCACCAACCTACGAGCAAAGACCATTCAGTATAGTACAGTAGCAGTAACACGGTAACACAGTCTTGTGTCTCTGGCAGACGTAGATGTTCAACTTTCAGACACTACTATTAATTAATA